CCCAATATTGTGGCCCCCTGAGCTAAGCTCGACGCCGAGGCGCTCCAAGTACCGGGCGGAGATACGCCAACTTTTACCTCAGGGCCATCCCCTCATCGATCCCCGGCATCCTCGGTTAATGGGAAGCGACGAGACGTCGACGACTGTGGATATAAAGAAAAAAAAAGAGGCAGAGAAAGAGAGAAAGGAGAAAAAGGAGGACGTGAAAGGAGAAGAAGTAACGGGCACGCGTTTGAAGAGCGAGCGGGCGAAATTCAAGCAGACAACGACGGGTACCCGCGCGACGGATAAAACATCAAACGCGACGCGCACCCACGTCGTCGATTCATGAAATCATAATGGAAGCACGCGCTTTAATATCGACGTTTTTAAAGGGGCAGCCTTAACGGGGGCGACACGTAGGGCAGACATAACGAACGAGGAGGAGCGGCGGCAGCAGCGGCTTCAAACGCTCCCCGCATGATACCCGCTCGGGACGGCTTTTCCTTTTCGCGTGCAGTTCAGAACGCTGGATCGGAATTAATGAACCGTAATCCCCCAATAATGAGGCTTCAGCTTCACTGGCTCCGATACGACCTCGCCGCCCGCGCGACCCCTCTCTCTCTCTCTCTCTCTCTCTCTCTCTCTTTCTCTTTCTCTCGCCTCGCCACCCCAGCTCCGCCGTCGCCGCCGCCGTCGTCGTCTCCTCCATGCCATACACGTACGCCGACGTACATATGTGCCCCGCGTAAATGTCACATACGCTTTATGGACACCTACGTTACCTGCGTGGTACGCGCAAGGCCTCATCACGCTCACGGCTCCCGGGACTGTCGACGCGAGACAAATTATTTTCCCGAAGAGCGCGCGCGCGCGCACTGTGCCATTCACCGTGTTGAGTTCACCGACGCGGCTCGGCGATTTTTCTCGCGTGAAGGAGCGGCACGCACGCGTGCACGCGCGCGGATTGACACACGCGCGTCGTGGCTTGAAATTCGCCGGCTCTGAGTTTCCTTGCGTCACGCTTGACCTCGATCCTGTTGTTGAACATTTTGAACCCGCGACGCGCACAGTCGATGAACTTGTGACATTGGTCGGTGGTCGTTTCGCGGCCGACTCTCGGGTTGTCTCTCGTGTGCTCCGAGGATCTTCGTAATTGCTATCGCTGCCGTTGCCGTTGTTGCTAGGTCAGGATTAACCCGCGACGGTGTTTCGGCGAGCTACTTGGAGAAGTGTGTACAGCTGTTCCACGATCATCGTCGCTTGTAACGAGCTGTTCGAGTGCACTCGTTCTCGCGAGAACGAAGTCTGAATTTGGAGCGCTATGACAAGATTGTAAGTGGGAGCAGAGTAAAACGGTTTGTGTGCGCGCGAGAAAGAGTGAGGAACCATTCTTCATTGTTATATTCTTTCGACCATCTCGCTCGAAATTGTGCAAACGACAAAAAATTAAGCCAAAATATGCGGACGAGTGTTTCAGTGAAATATTACGAGACACTCTCCAGCAGGAAAATGATTCACGATACGCGTTGTCCGCTGAAAAATAAATGGAGAGAAAGAGGAAGAAGAGAAAGAGAGAGAGAGAAGAGAGAGAAACTCAGATTTTAGATAAATTACATATCGGAACATTGGAAACGAATGACGTTTAAAGAACGTAAAAGCATCACAGCGCCCCGCAATTCCGCTTCTTTGCGGTGTTCTAAAGAGCAACGCGAACGCGGCTCATGGCTGAAAGGCGAGGGGGAGGGGAGAAAGTATCGCGAAACTCCCGATATTAGTTACAGTAACGTAGAAAGTTACATCCACTCGCGGAACTTTTATGCCTTTGTAAACTGCAGCCGGTGGCTGATTCTCTCGCGACGCTCGCGGTTATGCGCGCGTTTGACCTCGTTCGAGCCCCGACCGCAAACGGAACTTTTAATAATTGAGGTGTCCGCGTAGCATGAGCCCTTCAGCGCGAAAATGCCAAATGCAGCCCGGCGTGTCTGCCGCACGCGTTGCCGAAGGTGAAACCGCGAATAAAAAGTCAAAGGGAGCAGCGCGATATCCAACTGCGATCTCGCATGAGAGGTTACGCGGGGTGAGGGAGGAGTTGGGGTGAAGGGGAGTAATCTTCCCCGAGCCTCAGACCTTGCAAAATGAATTATCGACTAAGAGCCTTTATTGCAACGTTCCGCTCGACCTTCGAAGCACGAACGAAATCGCGAGCTTCCCAGGAACTTTGTTCCCTCAATGTGCTTATTTACGCTTGTCTGAGCATCTCCGGTAAATTAAAGCAGTTACTTTAAACGTCTGAAAAACGTCAAAGGGACGGCGCGTTTCTCGCGTCAGACACTCAGGTCCGTACCAACAGTCGTCACTTGAAACTCATATATCTCATATGAGATTCCCGAATCGAAATTTAGAAATTTATTAATAGTCGTTACTTGAAACTTGTCTCAGATGAGATACTCAGATTTTTTCTCAGAGTCAAATCCAAGCTCTTCAGTGGAATTCCGATTTGGTGTGACATTTATATCTACAGCGGATGGAAGGAGGGAGAGCCTCTAAAAATCCCTTGCTTACCCCCCGCCCTCACCCCGCGCCAATTTGGTTTGCCGCGCGAACGCCTATTCGATATATGCGAACACCCGTTCGAACACCCGTGCGGCCGAAACGACGTATATAGAAAGGAAAAAAAAATAATAAAAGCGAAATTTGGCGCGACGACACGAGCGCGCGAGTGTTTCTGACAGCGTCGATTGGCGTCGCGCAAAATCGCATCCCCTCTTTCATTTCACAGGGGAGGGGGGGAGACGAGCATTTAACGCACCCGATACACCTAGACATGCACGCATAGCACATGCACCGCGGAATGGGTGCCGGAGCGGATGCCGGGGTGCGCGCACATGCTGAAAACGCTCATCGGGTTTGCCTTTGAAGCCACCGAGGCGACGTCTCGATCGATCTAATAGGAACGGGACACGATGTATCACAAGGTGACGTTTCGTGGAAATCTGTCGGGCGGATATATCGCGCTACCGGTCCGATTCTGACAGTGTGTCCTCGTCGTTAAATTACAAGCAATTGTAGCCAGGCTCCCGGCGTATGCGCTCCGCTGATGAATAACGGCCCCGAGCCTTTTGTGGAGGATATCCGCGCCGGGCGAAGACGGTCGACCGATTATCGATATACGCCCCAGTTGCCGCGAATGCATGACAATCGCGCGCGATTGCTGCGTCCGACTCTTCGTTTACAGTCTTGCTGTCGACCTTGTTGTCTGTTTTCGTGCAGTTTTCGGGATTAGCAGAATTGTGAGTGATCGCTCGCCTTGGCGAGGGAGGTTCTCTCTAAAGTACCGTCGACGGCACAATCGTAAATGGCGCCACTTCGAAGTTACAAGTCACTTTTCCTTTCTTTTTCGCATACAGTGGCTTGTAGGAAATACGAAAGGATCTAGTCAACAAATTTTAACGACAACGATTTTAACGATTTTATTAGTCTTTCTCTTGTTTAGGAAAATTTCAATTCAATATTGCTAATTTCAATTTTCATTAATAAAGTGACATCTTATCTTTATCTATTTTTATTATACGTGTCTATTCATTCGATTTAGAATTTGATACTTCCATTGAGTTTCAATGTAATTTTAATTCCATTAACCCTTTCCAAATGCTTCGAGCAAACAAACTCACCTATTGGAAATTCACTTAACATACAAATTCGAAATTTATTTTCCCCCGATAATATGTGTAACAATTTCCGTTTGCGAGACTGACCGATACAAGACCTCTGTGTGTAAAAGAAAGGATCGTCCATCATATGATAGTATCGATTTAGTGTTAATGCATGAATCCGGAGGATACCACTTAGCTAGTGTCGCGTCAATAGGAATTGCAATTATCCCTGTATCGTCAAAGTCACGAAATGAGGAGGGAAATAATACGTGAAAATCTGTCCTCTGTATAATCTACTATAGTCACTTTGCGCTTCCTGATTAGGATAGAACGGAGAATGTTGAGAAGAATTAAACGTGCTGCTCAGAGAGAGGTGGGGGTGGGAGGATGGAGGTGCACGCGAGAAAAGCACGACAAAGTGCACCATGCGAAATCGCGTGACTGAAGCTAAAAGTCTCGTTACGCGGGTTGTAACATTACAGCCGTTATATAAACTCAGGAACGCCCAGCATTTGCATTGATGACGTGAATATAATGTATCACCGGGAGCCCGAAAGCCGAGCTTTTCTCCGCAGCCACAATGGCCACTGACCACCTGTTGCCTTTCCATTTATATTTTAGACGTCGTGAGAACGTCATCGCCTTACATATCCTCGCGAGCATCTCTAAAGGGAGAGGTCTTTTTTTATGCAAGAGCGCTGTGAATCGCTTTTGCGTCGTACGTTATGTAGCTGTGTCCTTTCACCTAGCGAATATTATATGGATTATCATATCGCTTCTTATGTGACGAGATTGCCGCGCTGCATATTATAACACACGCTACATATACCCCTCTGAGAACGCAGAATATAACGCAGAATATAACTGCCTAATGTCAGTAATAATTCGAAATTATTTAACATGCAAAAGGGATGAATTAAAATAGGATTTGGAACACGTGCAAAGTACGTTCGTTAAACACCAATTTCCTGGCAAAATTTCAACTAACGAAACCCGGACCGTTAAATGAAGCAATAATATAATAATAACACACTCTGGTCTTTCGCTCGTCAAAATGTGAAAATTTAATTTACGAGCTGCTTAATCTTTTATTTCTCATATTAAGTTCTCTGTATTATTAGCGAGCACACGTCTATGATATTTTGATAGCGCTCCTGATAAATCCTCGGTCATCCGTTTAGTTCTAACAATCCGATTAAAACAATTTTCCGCACGTTGGCTATAATACGTGCCATAAAGTACAGCTCGTTGCGGAGGTCGTTAAAAACGTACACGTACTTCTCGTTTGTCGTAAAAATGCCCGACCCGCCGTAAAAATCGCGATATTGCGGCAGAGAAATCAAGAAGTTGCATTATCTGTTGCAGGGTGCGTCATCCAGCATAGTGGTAAAATTCGCAGACACTGATAAAGAGCGACAACTAAGACGCATGCAGCAAATGGCCGGGAACATGAGCCTTCTTAACCCCTTCGTCTTCAATCAGTTCGGCGCTTACAGCGCTTACGCTCAGGTGGGTCGTGTTACTGTTAATGGCTCTCGCGTTACCGCATTACCGCCTTGTTGTCCTCGTTACCGCGACTCACAATCTGCGATGGCTCGTCCCTCGTTACTCGGAAACGATCGGCCGAAACTCAATGCCGTCGCGTTAGCGCCAACATGCAAAGAGCTCCGCAACAATTACCCCCTGCGGTTTTTCCCAACACTGCGATCGCAGCCCACGTGAAAGTAAAAAGGAGAAAAATATTCTATAAAAAAACTGCTCTTCTCTTCTATATATGTTTTTAACACTACAAAAAATATATTTCGAAATTATCTCAAGAATGCGAGAGTACTCTCATTTAATTTAACATTGACGTTTCTTAAAAATTCCAAGACTTAAAAATTTCAACATTGAGGAATGAAAATATAGAAAATTGTAGATGAACAATAAAAGATAAAAAGAATATTTTATTAGAAACTATACTCTATATATTTTTTTTTATTATTATAAAATATATATTTCGAAACCACATGTCGTATAAAGCCAAAGACACATAGACAAAGTTAAGCAGTAAGAAAATTGACCGATCACACATTCCAATCGACGATTCTTTTTACGTTCGAAGAATGATTGATTGTGATTAGTCAATTTTCTTACTGCTTATGTCTTATTGTTTAAGTTTTTCTGTATATCTTAGGCCTAATACTTTCTGCAAGAATAACTTCATTCAATTTAACGTTTCTAAAGCACATTTCAAGATTTCTTAAAAATTTCCAAATTAAAGAATGCAACATAAAGATGAAAAATGAATAACGAAATATCACTCGTCGTTTTTATCCCAGATGGTTTGTGAGAAAATCGTGATTTGAATTTCAGTAATGAAAACGTCAGGAATTGAAACGAAAGTCGCGCGTAATACCCTCCATCGGTGTTTTCGTGGCGAAATGAAAGGGTCGGATTAAATGAAGAAATTTTTCACTCCTAAAATGTCTTTTTCAAACATTCTGTAGTTTACATTTGAGAGAACATGTGACATTTTATTACGAGTTTTTCCAGTGTTGGTTGGGCGGACACTTTCCAAGTTCTCGGACGCTTTCCCTTGTCATGAAGTAGTTGTCCGTTGTCAAAGCGATAGTAAAGAGGCGTGCAAATAAGAACACCCGTTTTAAAGAAGGTATTTTCCTCCTTGCAGCAGCAAGCGGCGCTCATGGCAGCCGCGACTGCACAGGGGACGTATATCAATCCAATGACAGCATTAGCCGCCGGACAATTGCCGCATGCATTGAACGGCATGCCAAACCCCGTGGTCCCGCCAACTTCCGGTAAGTTTTGCACCTGCCTGAAAGAATTGCCCATCACGCGAAGAAAGATGCTCGATACGCGTCGTATCGCGTAGACGTCTGCGAAAGAAGAGCCGACGCCACCGTTGCTTGCTTTCCAAACTGTTCGTCTTCCTCGAGAAGGAGGCTCGGCGATTTTGAGCCTTTGCAGCATATTAATGTCGAAAATTCAATCAAAAGTTATGCATTTAAGTAGTTATACATTAAGTTACATTTATAGGCTGCGTTCGCTTTGGGCGCTTACGCGCTGTAAGCGTCATTCTATCTTTATCGCTCATTACATGCGGGAAGAAGATAGAATGACACAACGCATAAGCGCCCAAAGCGAACGCAACCATACACGCGTTCGGTCGCTCTATTTTACCGAGTAAATGCGCGAAACGTTTCGCAACATTTCTCTCTCTCTCTTTTTTTCTCTCGAAAATATAATACGCGCGCTTCGCCAATATCCATGGAAAAAAACATCCGTCGCGCACAACGTGTCAATATCGATGACAATTTATGAAGACCGCGCGAAAAATATATTTGCTCAATCCGAATTAATGAATTCGGCGGATTAATCAACTAACAGCAACCAATCCGATAAAGTGAACTCCTCTGCGGAAGAGAGAAAGACGCGTTCGAGAGGACACACGAATTATCCGCCATCAACCCGATAGCCGTCTGATTTCAGTGATATAAAACATCTCTTCGCCTCTGTTCGGCCGATTCTCGTTTCTCCTCGGACCGCGCGTCAGGTATAGTTTCCCCGCTGTCCCTCTTCTCTCTTTCTCTCCTCTCTCTCCCCTCTCTCTCTCTCTATCTCGCTCGCGACAGACGAGGCGTACAGTCGGTTGCCTTATAACCGACTCGTAAATCAATACAACATTTTCATCGAACGTGACTCAAGCGAGAGATATTGCCGGTACCGCGAAACTTTATCGAAAGCTCGTCGTCGTCGTCGTCGTCGTCGTTGTCAGGGGCGGAGGAGGAGAGGTAAAGCCAAAGAAAACGCCTCTTCCTCTCGCCCTTCCGCATCTACACTTCCCTTCTCATTCTCATTCTGTCCTTCTCCCTCGCCTCGGCGGCGATACAAGCGAGATCGCGGCGGTACCGAAGTGCTATAGAAAAGTAAAGTAAACGCGGAAATCGGCTCCGTTATACGTCGAGTCTCGTCGAGCGGAAGGTAATACCGTTTGATAGGGAAATAATATTTTATTTCTCTCCGTCAAACCCCCGCCCCGTCTCGTCCGATCCCGTCCCACCGTCCACCCGCTTTACTCCCTACCGAAGATTACCGAAGCAGCGAGCTTTTATTTCCGACGATACGATGCCGCCGCGGCCGCAAACTGTATACAGGGTGACGCGCTCGCAGATCCTCCGCAGATCCTGAGAATCGCGACGAATGGTCTCGGTCATTGATTGTCAGCGTCCCGTCGCGCGGAAAGTCTAATGTTTCATTCACGGGACTCAAAATAGACTTCATCGATTGTGCGTTTGCATATATCTCGCGACATATACCCCAGGTGGACAGATGTACGTAAATTTAGCAGCAACTTTATTAGTCGATTCACAAAGGTCGCGTCTCTTACAAGCAGCTCATATGACACTCATCACGTAGACTGAAACGAGATAGAAATAATAATGAGGATTTACTCAAAACAATGTCGTGCAAAAGATGTGGTAAGGAAATCTAACTTGGCAAATTTGTTGCTGCAGCAATACATGGGGAGAATATCACAGTTATCTTTCGTTAGCATCTGCCTATGGCTTTTCGTCTCGTAACTTTAATTTTGTTTGTTTAATCACATCAGCCAACGTATTAATCTAGCCACTAGGAGAAGTGAGTGTTGCATCATTGGTTGGTAATAATATTAGACACAAATTGCCCATCTTGCGTGGCTAAATTTCGACGAGGCTGAATTTCTACTGGGATATATATTCGTTTTACAAAAATGTAACGGAAACAATTGTAAAAAAAAATATTTCTACCACCAATCGTCTCTCCCCCGTGACGAATAATCATACGAGTCCACCTGAGCAACGAACCAATCGTTTTAATATGGCGGAAAAGAACGCGTTTCACGGTGAAATATTTCGAGGGAATAATTCGCGCTCTCCGCTATCTCGCGGGGGTTTCACGGGGTTCGTATCGCGCGGAGCTTAACAAGACACGCGCGTGTATCTCGGAACAACACCGAACAGCGCTCCGCGACACACAGAGAGGGCTGCTGTAAAAATCTCACCCTGTATACGAGAACCGTTCGACTACTTGCCCGGCCGAATCAACAACGCGGAGAACGTATCGTGCAGTCACGGGAGTTTAAGTTTACGACGCGTATCGTCATATCCGATGCACGTCGTCGGTTCGTCGGTAGCTTCGGCTACGAGCCAGCGAGGAGATGTGCGCGCGTCTAGTGTAATCCGGATGTTATCGAGGCATCGAGATTCTTCGTCGTTCCGGCCTTCCACCTTTCGCAGTCGTGGGACTCGATTCGTACGTACGTACGAAAGTACCGGGGGGGGAGTAGGCGCTTAGCTTGATCTGCCAGTCGGCTGTAACGTTTCCCTAAGGAGAGAGCATTCGGCTCCTGCATTCGTTTCCTGTCGAATAGCACGGCTCGTCATCTCGTTGCACGTGTCTTTAATTTCAAAATAATCCCGAGCGTCGCCAGCTGGATTCTGAATACATCCTCCCGTCAGCCTTCAACGCTTTTCCTTCCAAAGGGTCACGTTCGGTCAAATCATATGTCATGTCCAACGTTCATCCCCGTCGTGCGCTCTCGACTGTACATTATACTCTGTACACAGTAATCGTGTGTCAACGCGATAGAAATAACAGATATTGCCTAAACGTAGTTATATCTCATTATCGTGTAATATTGACACGATACCAAACGCTGGTCACCGGCGAGATCAATGCGTTATTAACGTGACGCGACGCTTTGATCACTGATCCGGATTATATCATCACATCGGCGATGCAGCCCGCGGGCGCAAACTAATGCCGACAAATACGACCTTTCGCGTAAACTTTGTCGTGATATAAAAAAAAAGAGAGAGAGAGAGGGAGGGTGGGTGAGAGGGAGGGAGCGCGCGCAAAGTTACGGCGATATTCCGCGTTACCGTGAATCGCGCGATACCGCGAAAGTTGCGCGGAGCGTTCAGGCGGAGAAATACGCGGCGTCGAGCGCGCGCGCGGCCCTTTGACCGAGAGGAGAACTCGTCGACGATATTAACTCGGTGCAAGGCTCCGCTCTATGGATCGAATCAACAACCGGACCGTCCGCAGCTCGTCCGACCCCTCAAACGGTGCGCGAGGCATACGGATCATTAACGGTCTTTTCCGAACCTACTGTTAATTACATCTGACGACGAAAGACGGAGAGGGAAAGAGAGCGAGAGAGAGGAAAGGGTGAAAAAGAGCGGGGTGAGGACGAGGGAAAGCGAGAGATCGAGCAGAGGGAACACGTCGGACAGAGAAAGAGAGAGCAATTGCGTCCCGATCCAATGCCTCGCGCACAGAGAGGTGACGATCGAGGTCGGCGTTGAGAAAGCAAGACGGTAACCAGGTGAAGTGTACTGATCAGGTTTGCTCGTAGGTACCGGCACAGGACAACCGGTGAACGGGGCGATACCATCGTTGCCCTCGCCGACGATGCCGAACTTTAACATGGCCGCTCAGACGCCGAACGGCCAGCCGGCAGGCTCGGATCCAGGTGTCTACACCAACGGAATACCGCAGACTTATGCGGGACGTGAGTATCAACTCAGGCGCAGCGTGCCGCCCCTGCGCAATGCCTGGCCAATCGGCGGCGGACTTTATTATTCCTCAGGGATGTAAATAACTTCGCGCAAGCCAAGTACAAGCCGCGAGCTGTACGCGGCTGATATGTACCCTCGCGTCATACCATTCGAGCCGTGTTGCAGGTGCAAGAGCGGCGTGTGTTCGCGTTGACGGCGTTGGAATTAATGGCGCGAGACTCACGTCGGAAACCTAATAGCGACGTGGAGTCTCGCGGACTTCCCCCGGAGCACGTGACTTACGTTCCGCGAAAGGGGCGCGGCTTTAACGAACAATTGCACTTAAATCACTTCGTTATTCCGCCAGCGCGTTGAGAGTCGTTCTCGCTTACGCGTGTTCGATGCACTTGGACGGTGTGTCAGTGCGAATCGCGGAATTTCAAGAAGTGCGCTTCGATCGTAGAGTCTACCGGTGTTCCATTATCCCGATGTTGCCGGCAGGGACCGACGGTACGCTGAGTGAAGAATGTATTGCCCGTATCTCAAAAGTAATGAAACATATTGAAAAACGTTGCAGATTAATCCATATTGCATCTCAAAATGATCAAGAAACAATTGAGTTGACATTTATTCAGAGGCTGCACTGAGGAAAGAAGTGATTGACTTAATAAGACCTTGCTTGAACGAACGAAATTCGTTCAAGCAAACGTTTAGTCGTTCGAACAAATGATGTCGTTGCTGTGATTTGCTGTGCAAATTATCAAAAATTTGATTCAATGATTGCTATTTAATCAATAACTAATCAACGTAACTTATTATTGCATTAACGCGTAATTTATTCGATGGACACAATATTTCCTTGAAGGCAAATAACCACCGGTTTTACCGGTTCAATTGCTCTTCTTCTCATTGTGGGTTAAAAATTATTCCACTTTGTAATATAAATGATAACGTGATAACGTTGTAATGATATCAAATGACGTTCTGATGATCAATGACGCCTCTAATGCGTTACTAATACGTCACTAATTCTCCGTCTGCTTCCCTATTTTTCGCTACCGCAGTTTATTTCGTGGGGAATGCTATTTTTCTTCCACGTATGAACACAAAAAGTCGGGGCAAAATTTTGTTTCATTATTTCAGGTTTCCACTTCCCAGTCAAAACATTATTTAGCTCTCAATGTTTATGACTGTTTTTTTTCTAAAGTAAAATCCATAATAGACGGCTGAAATTTCAATTGTTCCCAAAATAGTCCACATAACAGATGGACGTCATCCTGCTGCTTGGAATACTTTGAACTGTTATGGAAATATAACATGTTTCCATGATGTTGTTGTCTTTAGTAGAGAAAAAGATAATTCAAACATGACGATAGAATTCTCAAATTTTGCATACATGTGCTTTAGGTATGGTGCACACAAAGTTTCATCGTGATTCAGACATACAATTGAATTAGGAAAAATACAAAGTCAAACCAAGAGCCATGCGCCAGATGTTAGTGCGGATAATTAATTTATGGAAAAATAATATATATTGTTAGGAAAATTTGTGATTCACTGTATACGTTGTAAGAACCAAAAAAATGTTCGGCGTTTGCGTTTACACTGTCAAACAATATCACTCTGCCATAAATTCATTATCCGCACTAACATCCGGCGCAGCTCTTACATTTCTGGCCTTACATTTCTCTTAATTTGGTTATGTTCCAAACAGAGCCCTTGATACATAGTTCAGTTGATTCAGAGTCAAAAAAAAAGTCAGAAATAATATAAAACGAATAGTAGCAAACAGTCCATAAAAATGAAGCACGAAAATATGTTGTTATTCAACGTATGTACGGCCGTGCCGTACGTATTATACGTTTTTACAGGAAAAATAGGAATATTAGCGCATCTCTAACTTCTAGTAACTATTGCAGGGCTTACACGGACAATGCATTCTTGAATCATTACGCCGTTTCGTCGAGGTCGCGATATTACAGTCGCCGCGCGACTGGAAAGGGGGCGGTTACAATGTTAGGCAACACACGATTACTCCTATGGTCGAGCTTGTAGTAATACCTCGACCTTTATCGCCGTTCGGATAATCATTACCGAGTACAGTCGGCGAAAGGGTATCGAGCGGTATCGATTGGCCTACTGGTATTGCGACAGGGGCCTTTAGGCTAGGCCCTCTCCCCGATAAGAGCTGAGCTTACTGAAGTGTAGATGCCCTTCATCTGTCCATTCCAGCGCAGGGGCTGCCCAACGGGGAGGCGGCACTTCAGCATGCCGCCGCATATCCTGGAATGCAAGCTTATGCTGGAGTGGCCGGTAAGTGTGTTTCTCCAGTTGCAATTTTTACCTACGGCTTGTCGAAGGTGCTCTGTCTACCCCTTCCCGTGTCTTCCGTGCAATAACTGCAGCGCGCGTTACGCCCATCCAGCCTTCTTGTGTCCAAGCAGGCTCTCTCTCATACGGCTGTTGTTATCGACGTGAAGCGAGACGGGACGTTAGAGAGACGGCCCGATATCAACGTGCGTATTTACCTCGAGTCGAATAAGTACGGTTTGCGCGCGCTAATCGACGGATCTACTACGCGCAAAGTCGATCGTCGCGTGCAGCATGCACGAATCGAATTACGGCTGGGAAAATGGATTTAAGAACGTACGCGTTAGGGAGAATTCGCACCTTAGCGGGAAAACGGAAAATAGAAGAAAAGCAGAAAGCCAATCAGAACTCGCGCTAGTAGAAAAGCAAAAACTGCACTGTAAACCTTCAAGTATGTCATTTCGGTTGAATCTCTTTTTACACGTTTCTTACCGTCTTAATATTATATTAGTATATTAGATTATAACTTACACGTCTCAAACGTGTCAATGACCTGACTTAGAACGCTGAAAAACGTATAAGAAGAGCTTCAGCCAAATTACACGCTTATGCGTTTAAGAAGTAACACATTTGGATTTGCAAAGTGTCGACTACCACACCGTAAATCCAAGTTATTTTTAAACGTATATAAACATGTAATTTGTCTGAAGCTCTTTCTACATGTCTTTTATCATTTTAAATTGCGTCACTTAACGCGCTTAAGACGTGTAAATTACTAAACATGTTTAGAAATGTTCAATGACGTGACTTGATATGGCAAGAAGCGTATACAGAGATATTCCGCCTTAAAAAATAACATACTTGGGCTTGCAGTACACTTGACCACCGGCGCGAGTTCTGATTGGCTTCTATCTTTCTGCTTTTCCAGCGAAAGATGTGAGTTTTCCCTAAGGGAGAATTTTCCTTGGCAGAGAAGCGAAAAAGCAGAAGCCAATCAGAACTCGCGCTGGTGGTCAGATGGTAGTTGACAATTTCTGGCTTTTCTACCAGCCCGGCTTCTACCCTTCTGTTTTTTTGCTCGATTGCTGAAAAATGTGAATTCTCCCTTACAGAGTCGCTGCAAAAGTCTCATAAACGTTCCGCATTATCGCGGCACACGTTCATAGCGGAACGTGGCCCCCATGTATCAGTCTTAACGTGCGCTCGCGCCAGGTAACACTTTACGTGTGTACTCATCTCGCCCGGATGTTGCCTATCGCGATCTTGAGCTGTAGGGTAGATCGAAAAGGTGCGTTTTTGTGTGTGTTCTCGACGAGGAGGCCGAGGGAGATGGGAGCGTGTGTACGTAGGGGAAGATGCATCGGAACGTCCAACGTTTACATGCTTTTATCCGGGCGCCGGAGCACTTACCTGCGAAAAAATTCGATTCCGCTGATCGCGTTGCTGGTTGTTTGCATGCAACTATGGCCGCATGCGTACACACACACACACACACACACACACGGACACACACTCACAAGTACACGCAGTCACATGTGCACACATCGTACACACACGTCATACATGATCGTGTACGCGTCAACGTTTCGTTCTATAATGCTTCTGCTGTGGTGCTACGATGTACTTCGGTGTCCTTCTAAATGTACTTCGTGTACATATATTATATTGTAGTTTTACACGTTACGTTAAGCTCCTCTCCCTCTCCTCCTGCTCCGCTCACCCCTGCCCCTGTCATCCAGCCGTCCTCTCGCCTTCGTTCATGCATGCTCACCAACACCAACGGCGACGAGTAACCCGCCATCGACCGTCGGCGCCGCTGCGTCAAAGTGCAGCGCATCGGCGCAAATTATGATCCAATAACGTCCGGCAAAATGGATGATCTCGTTTCACGGATAATCAACGTCTCGATGGACCTATACTTCTATTACATTCCAATCACTGTCGGTAATGAGAACGCGCGTTTAACGAATTCCGCGCTCAAGCGCCCCTCGTGGCGCAGCGCTCGCGCCCGCGCTTCGTCCTTCCGTCGCATGTCGAGTCGCGGAAACAGCGAAGACCAGAAGCAGCCGCGACAGGAGAACGGAGTTATCACTTACCGCGTCGCTGATTAAATCCCACCAGCCCTACTCTTGGTGTCTCTCAACATTCTGGCCGTATCGATGGAAATTCAACAAATTCGAGTCATAACAAACACGTCCTCGTGTGTGTTTGCCTGTGTGTGAGAAAGAGAGAAAGAGGGAGAGCGCGCGCGCGAGCGAGCACCCGGCTGTATTTGCTGAGAATTCAAAAGCCGTATATTTTTTTCTATGTATTTTCGGCCAGTGTACACACACGCCATCGAGATCAGCGAGTGGAAAAAAAGCAATCCCGAATAACGGTGCACCTCTATCTGAGCGTGACGCGGCCGACGTATGATGGCGTATTTATTTCATACGCCAAACGTTGATCCATCGCGCACCGGGGGCCTCGGGTAACGTCAATCGGAATATATTAAAGCGATGTTTGCACGGAAATAATTAATTCCGGAGCGAAAATTCGCCTCTGCCGATCTGAGAGCACGCGCGCACGCACGTGCACGCTCGCGCGCGCTCCACCTATCCGTCACAAACAGGTATCAATCACGAGCATTTTAAATATTTATCAAGCTATAATTAATAACGACGGTACTTGCTTTCTAGCCTGTCGCCGCGCGCGCGTATGCGTGTGTGTACGCGCTCACCGGCGCGAACGGCATATAATACCGGTATTCGCGCGTTTATCGCGTCACATTCGCATTTACAAACTTGTCGCCGTCGCGCCAATTGTCGCCGTCACAAACGCGCGAATCGCAGTCGAAGATTAAAACGCATGAAAACGCGAACTTTTGTTTAATGTGCGAAATATTGTACAAATTTTTGACAATCGGGAACGGAACTCGTTCGCTAGTCCCCTCTTCGATTCTCGCGCGATCGTTGTAATGGAATCGCGTAGCAACGGTTTTAACCTCGTCGGACTTTCGAATTAAATTTGTCCCATTAAAATTTCATTACATCGAGCGGGGCCCTTATATCGACGCCATTGCATTAATCGGGGATACAGTCGAATTTTGTAGTAATAAAAATCTCGTTATATCGACGGCATTCTCTTTCTCTCTCTCTTTCTCTCATCCCTTTCCTCCCTTTCTACCGATTCGTCGTAATGTAATATTAAACAAACGCTATTACGATAATGTCTCTCCGATTTCCGAACCTTACGCCGCGCCCGTATCGCGTATCCTCTCCGCGAAATCTTCCGTGTCGGAACATTTGTGTTCGCGCTGGTCCCTCTCGATCGTTCAAATATTTAGTTTCGCAAATTGCAACGGGATATCGTGCGCAGCTGCACAGACGACTTTTGCCGTTCCGCGTGTAAGAAGGCGCGTATCCCGTTTTAATGAGACGCGACGCGACACAACGCGACGCTGCAAGCCGAATCGGCTTTGAAGAGATATCGGGTGTCGGCTAATGTCACGTCGGATGCAACGCGTTTTCGCAGGCCGCGACGATTCGCGGCACAAAAGTATCATATTAAAAGTCGCGCAACGGTGAGAACGTTGAGAGACGAATACCCTTGTCGGCAGAAACACCATGATGAATGTCGCCCGGAATCACCTGTGCGAGACCGTTGCTATCGGTGAGTCGCTTCTCGTTTGCTTTCAAACCGACAGAGCAAACAGTCCACTCGCGTTAATGACGATATTCTAGAAGCTTTGTTCTCGATTTTAATGATGAATCCCCCTGTACTTGGCATAAATGGTAGGTCCCCCTGTGAAGTTTAAATTTAATCCTCTCAAATGGCACATGTGTTTTGGGTACCTCCATCTGGCACTAGGGTCGTTTTTGTCCTCATTTATTTACATTCCGTGACAAAAATAAAAATCTGTGAAAACTGATAAATGTACTTTCAAGTATATCTCAATAGTGTTTGGACCTTTTAATAATGATTTAAGATGACACTGCGCGATTTTCCCTCCAGGGCGAGTTTTCTTTTTTCACAAGTATATTTAGATTTCCTTCCTTTTTATTGTTATTTTCGTTGTAAAATTTAATACAAAAATATAATACAAAATACGTTTAATTTGTATTTGCTATGAGTTAAAAAGAAATACGAAATAATTTAACTAAATTAAAAGAAGTTCAATATTTGACCACGAAACTTTTCATTTCAATTGGGGGAGGGGGGGAATTAAACTTTTATATTCCTTTATATTATCAACTATAACTTTTTTTAACGCATGAATTAGATGGGGGTTGAAAATGAGCCCAATGCGTCAGATGAAGGTTAATTCCTATAAACTGTCGAAAGATCAGTGAAAATTGTTTTCGCAGTCGCTCGCGTCGAAAAGCCGATCTTCAATGCGACAGACAAGTCTGTCTGTCGATAATGGAGATTGCGGCAAGCTGCGCAACTGAAATTACATCTCACGGTCCGACGATAATACAAACACGGAGCAATACGAAGCCAGGCCGCGCTCTTCGGGTTTTCGTAGCCTTTCAACGTGAAAACACTTTGACCTGCTCCTCGTTCCGCGACGGGCCTCCGGCTCAAATCCCAAGAATAAATGGCCACGTGTTACCGGTTACGTATTCCGCGCTTCTGAAACGCAGGCTCATAAATTACGCCGTTGTAATCTGTCTAGCGATGGCAGCGCAATTTCTGTTGAATCTGTTGACGTTTATTGGACTGTTCGGCTTTTATTACTGTCATCGTCCATTATGTATGCGCTATCGCTGCATTGAATTACGATGCCTACGGTTCCGGGGCTTGTTGCGCCGGTTGCGAGCTGTCGCTGGCCCTTACTCGTCGACGACAGCTGCGGATCGCAGCGGGGAGAGAAAAGGGAAGAAAGAAAAGCACAAAGAGAGAAAGAAAGCGAAACGAGGGCGAATATTAAAAGGGGGACAGAGGGAGAGAAAGAGAGAGAGATAGGCGGCGGCACGCACACACAGATCTCGGTGTGGACAGATCATGATGTACTTGTTATTTGTTATTGTCGCAGCTTACCCCGCTGTCTACGGCCAGTTTCCTCAGGCTATTCCTCAGCCGATGACCGCGGTGGCGCCCACGCAGAGGGAAGGTAAGTACAACACGCTCATCAACGTCTAACTGTTGACTGTAAACACGAACGACTGTAGACCTGAGATTGTAGATCCACGTCCCGTACACGTCCAGACACGAATTATCCCTCGTCGGCGCCCAACGAGGTGCAAGACGGAGTTTCGAGTTTCCGCCGTCGCAGCACCAGCCTGTGTACTGTACCATTCCATACCGCTCCGCGCAAATAAAACGGATGCGCGAGCTCGATCGCCCAAACAGAAACGAGACGGACGACACAGGTACAACCCGTGTATGACGATCAATCCGTTCCGCTCCGTTTCACCTTCGCACGCGCGCGCTCGTCTGTTTTAGTTTCGATCGGAATGGTCGAAAACGTGCTTTTTTCACAGATCTTCTTTTCACTAAGATAGAGGCAGAGAGAGAGAGAGAGAGAGAGAGAGAGAGAGAGAGAGAGAGAGAGAGAGGAGGGGAGGGAGGAGAAAGCGACCGAGGAGAAAGAGCGCTCCGATCCGATAGCTTGCGGTAATTTCCGCGATAACGTCATCTCCCTCGAAGCCGGCGCTCGAAAATTGCGGCTAATTAAAAAGCGCCGGGCCGAATAAAGGGACGCCATCGGTCAAAGGGAGAGTGCGCGGGAGTCTCACCTAGCAAATATATCGGTCGGAGCTAGTCGTTTATTACGCCATCTTTTTGCGAGAGAGCAGCCGCGGGAAGAAGCGGAACGCGCAGCGCCAAAGGCACACAGGAGGCGAGGAAAAAGTCGGCTAGGCGAGTCCCGGGCTTAGAAGAGAGCTGAGCGAACCAGCGCCTAATTGCAATTAACAACTCGCCATTATTAGAATATACGACGCCTTGCAATGAGATAATGCAAATAAAACGAAAGTTTTAATTACTTTGCCGCTACGCCCGCCGGCGATCCGTTGTTACATCGCAGGATAATGGAAAGTTTACCGCGACAGCGCTACCCCGCCTACGTTTTATCCGGCCTCAACCCTCTGCTCTTTTCCCTCCGACCGCCACGTCCTTCCACCCTCCTCCTCCTCTTGCTCTTCCTCCCTGGCCGCTCACTCTCCTCCTTCCTCCTTGTCTTTTTCTCCCTCTTTCTTTCTCTTTTCCGTTTCCATCCCACCTGATCTTTTCGTCGATCCATTCTGATGTTTTCCCATGCACCGCGATCAAATTGTAAGCAGAACGGCAATAATAGAGATTTCTAATAGAATTGATCCTCTTCTTCCCTCTTCCCTCTCTCTCTCTCTCTCTCCCTCTCCGCAGTGTGCACGGTGAAAAGCTTCGCGCATTTATTAACGCGTATTCCCACCCCCGGCCACGTACACGTAGCTATTAATAAATCCATTTTTCGAGTGTATATAAATCCAACGCGAAGCGGACATTCCGACGATACTCCAAACGCTCGACATCTCTCGATAAATCAACGGAAAAAATCAGCTGAACGTGAATTCATCGATACGCCATGCGTGCAGGATCGCCCAGGGATCGATCGCATTACATTATACACGAGAGGCTGCGTTTACACGCCGTTGCATATTATTTTTTACGCGAGTAATAATTCGAGCCGCGTCCTCGCTTCGAGTCGCAATGATATAAAATACACACACGTGCTTGCGTGTGGTGCATTTTCACCGTGCGTGCTGCGAGCGGAAGGAGAGGGCGCGCCGACATGTCGGAGGCGCGAAGTGGTCTTTCGAGCTCAGCGGAAAACGGATCGGCGCTCACGTAATGTCGAGCCGAGAGAGCGGCTCGCCTCTCGCAGAGAACTCCTGCGCGTCGAACACACGAGTTTTGTATCAGGGGAAATAAGAGAAACGTGTGTGCGTGGAGATACATACCTCGTCTTTGGCAGGAACTTGCGTTACGCGTCGAAGTCGTTAGGCGTGGCGCAATATTGGACGGAACGATCCAGGCAAGGCGAAAAGGGATCGACGTCGTTCTTGTCATCATTGCATGACAGTGGTATCGATCTATTGACTGTCGCTTCGCGAGTTTACCCTTGCTCCGTGTTACTTTATAAGCTCCTTGATCGTTGTTCTGGGTGTTCTACGTCTTACACGATGTGTTCTCGGTGTTCGTGTACTCGTTTCTTCTCTCTGACCATGACTGATTGTGTCACGATATTTTTCACGTTGTGCGGATAGCTCCTTCCTTACTTACTTACTTACTTACTTACTCACTTACTTACTTATCTATATTTTCTTTTCTTTACGTCAGCGTGTTCCGGATGTTCATCGTTAATTCGCTGTTTCGCCGTTGCACTCGATGTCAGTGGCTGTACTCGGTGTTGCGCTGTCGACCGATGTTGGTTGTTGCTTCGCTACGAGAGGCAGGGGCAGCGATATATATATATACATATATATATATATATATATATATATATATATATATATAAATATATATACGTACATTGCGAGAGGTCATCCGTGCCAAAAGACTCAACTCGTCTCGCGATCGGCAACACTATCATCTAAGACACTCGGCCCAATTTCAGCAACCTTGCCAGAGTCCAGAACGAACTCGATAGTAATCGCGCTTACGGGCCGTGAAGAAATGTTTCCGTGTGAAAGTCTCGTGTAATACGTTTCACACGCGTGAAAAAGCACAAATCTTCGACCAAATTTCAATCATTCGTCGTTTAAGGCGTCTCGAGTAACCGACGTCTTGATATTTCAAGGTAGTTTCTGGTAGAAATTTTCATTGCAGTTTTCGAGCTGTTATATCATTACTGGGCAGTTATGACAACTTTTGTCTGACAAGTGAAGAGTAAAACTACTTAGGATCTTATACAATTAAGATGTGACGTTTTTTTCTGCAGTTGCTGCGCACAAAAATGCGCGAAATCTGATTCAATCTCAAGGGAAACGCAGAATGGAAATGGATAAAATATTATTCAACTAATAAAAATAAATAATCAAGTTTACTGCTCACAAAATGGGCCAATCTGTCCTAGCAGTCTTTTATTTTTTGTATATACGTTCTAATTGGAAATTTTCATGCTAATGAGAGTCATAGCGCAGGAAATCTTTGGCGCGTAATATATATTTTCATGTTTCTCGTCTTTTATACGTAAGATTTTTCATAACTATCAAGTAATATATGTCCTTTTATCCATTCTTTTGTACTATTTTATATCAGATATATTATATCAGGTTTTGAGTCTCTGAGCTATTATGGCCTTTTAGTTGTATCATTACCATCAGAAGAGTCTGAGGCGTTCTCATAGCAATGAAATAGTAAATTGGCAATTTATTGTAAATTAACATTTACTCCATTTATGTGTCTCTTGCTCAGTTTCATTTCTTATCTTAGTTATTATCTCTGTTACAGTTCGTAATATTGTCAGATGCCTTATTTCCTTCAGTTTCCTTTTTTGTTCTACGTTACCCTACATGTCCACTCATTGTTCACACAATTTTAAGCTCTTTTTCAACAATATAGATAAATATGTTTATAAATATTTAACAATATAGATAAGTTCACTCGCTGTTGGCATTATAGTACATGCGCATTGTAAAATTGAATTAATATTGTTGGTACTATATCTTGGGAAAAGAGAATCGGCCCACATGTTATACAGTAAACTGCTTCAATCACTAAATGAAATTCTATCGAGTTCTTATCCAGTTCCTACACAGTACTCTCTTAAAGTGGATCAGTAAAAGAAAACCGACAAGGGATTTCACCAACAATCAGTGAATATTCATTGATGTTCAGTGGAAACTCTCTCACTTCTCCATCTTATATCTCATTCCATTTATTATATCTCACTGATTTGGACCAGAAGTAAGATTTCACCGCGAAATCTGTAGTACACAAATTTATTACACTATGTCGAATCTAGCTTTATGCGTTCGTAACGATGGAATTAACGGTTTCCATGCGATTAACGCGTAATGACATTGTCTGCGTTTGCAAACTGCGTCAATAATGGTAACAGTCGCTACTGTTACCTGATCCTATCAGCGAGATTTTACTGATTGCAGTGCTATACTTGTGACTGAACCATTGCTCGAGTAGAAATGTAACTAACAGCCAAAATCAAATACCTGAATCAAAAGCTAGTACCTAGCTAGTGTTAGCTTTTAGTGGTTAGATTTTTTAGCTTGTTACTAATTCATTATTGGTTGATGATTCACTATAATATAAAATCGGATTTGTGATATAGACATCGTAATCTAGCTATATATCAAATATGATAAAATAGATGACGCTCTATCTATTCCAAAGTACACAATCTAACTACTATATCACTACTTTATTTTAAAATTAGGTAGCAAATCAAAATTGAGATTATGTTAATTTCATAAATTTCATAAAAATTGAGATTATGTTAATTTCAAAAATCTCAAACAAGCACAATTAGTATGTAACATTACTGACTAGAGCAACTGCTTATGGTTTCTCATTTCTGGGAGTCCGCATAACTCCAATTTTGTTTGTTTAACCATCAGCTAAATTATTCTATATTTATCTAGCTACGAGGAGAAGTTACATGACTGGCTAACAGTGATGTTAGACACAAATTTGCAATCTCCTGACTAGACACCGACGAGGTTCAATTTCTGCTAGGGCAGTTATGAATATAGTATTTCAGTGAATAATACACTGATTGCATTTCAGTGAGCATTTTTACAATTAAATTAGAGGAGAACGCATTAATACTCGATAACTGGGTAGATGTCTACGCAAACTGCATACATTTCTACCAGGAGCGTTTCACTGTTACTTTTCAATAGAAGTAGACGCAAGGGTAGCCGTTCTCATTAGATTCGCGTGCACGTACCTCGTGTGTGCCAATTAGAGAGGCGAAAACCAATTTCAGGATCAACGATCGCGCGCGCGGCACGACGACGGGCTTTAATTTATGGCTCGTTCTTCGTGATTTCGTCGACCACCGCAATTCCCCTCCGTGCTCTCCCTAGTCGGAACCGGAAACCCGTCGACACTCGTGCTAATTTGGGTTTCGCGTGACAGCCACGATCGAGTTATTACCGGGGTGAAGTCGTTTCGAGAGCGAGAGGGGGAGAATTTGTCACTCTTTGCGTAAGCCGCGGGACAGATTCGAGATTTCTCGAGACTCCGACAAATACACAACAACGTTAATTCATAATTGGCGAGGAAGTCGGCATTAAATCCGCGATTTACTCGCGCAACATCGCTCTTTCTCAACAAGCCGGCCGTTACGGTGGTCGGCGAGTCGCGAAACGATTTCGCGTCGCGGATTTTACTTTAAGCGTGATTTATGCGATAGTTATCGGAGAAACATCCCGAAGATAGCGAAGTTTTTGTCCCTTTTGCATCTCAGGATCAAATCTCTCGCGGACTTAGGAACGAAGTTTCGAATCGTAATGCGCTATTTTCGACAACTGAACGATTAAAGTTTAACCCCCGACGGGAATCACCATTTGGAGATCGCATGAAAATATTCTCGTAAAATCACCGTAAAATTTCGTCCTTGTCACATTTCGTTTTTAAACTCGTTCGGATTCACGACGACATAATCTTATTGACCGGCAAATGCGCTCAACGATTCATGCGGACGGTATCATTGAGCACCGACGTGCCGGAAGTCATAATCGGGCTCGAAATGGACAATTATACTTTGCGACGATTCGACGAGCATATTCGACGGCGAATCCCCGGAGGATCTTTCCACGAAAGATCCTTCGCGCGCGTGCGAGAGAGAGAGAGAGAGAGAGAGAGAGAGAGAGA